AAGAAGTAGAAGAAGAATCTCTGGAAATTCCCTCTCAAGAAGAAGAAAATGAGGAAAAGGAACTTCCGAAGGCATACAAGCACTTGAAGAACCATCCAAGAAGCAATATCATTGGAGATATTGAAAAGGGAGTTAGAACTAGGAACAATCACAATCTTTATGCATATTATGCGTTCGTTAGTCAATTTGAACCTAAGAACATTCATAGAAGATGCATTAAAAGATAGTGATTGGATTATATCCATACAACTAGAGCTAGAGCAATTTGAACGCAACAAGGTTTGAGAACTAGTTGAAAGACTGGAAAATCGACCCGTTGTGGGCATTAAATAGGTTTTTACAAACAAGCTCGATGAAAATGGTGTTATTATCACGAATAAAAGTCGACTTGTTTCTAAAGGCTATAGCCAAGTTGAAGGAATTGACTATGATAAAACTTTTGCTCCGGTTGCTAGGCTTGAATCTATTCGTATGTTATCAGATTTTTCAAGTGCTCTTAACTTTAAACTTTTTCAAATGGATGTAAAAAGTGCTTTCCTAAATGAGTGGTTGAAAGAAGAAGTTTACGTTGAACAACCTCCCGGTTTTGAAAATCTTGATTTTCCAAATCATGTTATTAAACTTCATAAGCCCCTTTATGGACTCAAGCAAGCTCCTAGAGTTTGGTATGAGCGGCTTACCGATCATCTCACCTCACATGGATTTGCAAAAGGAAAGATCGATTCCACACTTTTTATCAAAACGAAAGGGAAAGATCTTATCATTGTGCAAATTTATGTTGATAATATCATTTTTGGGTCAACTAAGGAATTCTTATGTAATGAATTTTCAGGAATTATGACAAGCGAATTCGAAATGAGCATGATGGGTGAGTTTAATTTCTTTCTTGGACTTCAAATCAAGCAACTTGAAGATGACATTTTCATTAGCCAAACCAAGTACGCCAAAGAACTAATCAAGAAATTCAACATTGAAGAGAAGTCAAGAATTTTCTAGAACGGTCCGGAGAACTCTAGAAAAGTGTAGAACTCTCTAAGCTAGAAGCTTATGGAAGACTGTGGAAGAGTGTGGAAGTCTCTTGAATATTCTAGAGAAGTGTGAAGCCTTCTTGAACCTTATGGAAGGTTATAGATCAGAAGAAGATGGAACTGTATGGAGATTAGAAACTTCTAGAGATGTTGAAGTTTCTAGAACCCTAAAACTACACATGGAGGAGTACTATAAATAGGGAGAGTCCTCTTCACTTCCAACCATCAAAAGTGAAGAAAACAATCCACTTGTAAAGTGATAAGTCTCTTAGAGAGTGAGAGTGTAAAGCTTGGGAAGTCCTAACCTTCAAGCTTGAGTGAGCCACCATAGTGTGAGCCAATCTTGTAAACATATTCTTGAATTGTAATCCTACTAATCTTTTATATAGTGGAAGAATCTCCATTTTGGAAAATTATAAACTCTTGTGCTCTCACTACTATATCAATTCTTAAGTCTCTATCTTAAGTTCACGAAGCGGGAAAGATCGGGCATTTTCCGACAACAAATTAAAGAATGTAATTCTTATAATCACTTTCATAATTTTACTTAAAAACTGCTTTTCTTTAACATGATACGGAGTACTTATTTTTTATCAGGAGTTACTCAAACTCTTTCTCATCTTTTTACAATTTTTTGTAGCGTGTATATATTTGTGAAGTGCATGTTCTAGGTTTTGTACTTACATTAATGGCATGAATATAATTTTTTATAGCATATCAATAAATGTGATAAGATTTGCTTCGACGAATTTCATCTCAAATTTATTCCTTTCTACTTTAAACAATTGCATGCATGCACTATAACCCATCACTACTCTTAATATGACCGACGAAAAACAGAAACAATATTATTCAACTCAAACGTCGTCTGGTTTTGCAAGCCGACCGACAGCGGCCTAAAAATCCATGCTGTGATTTAGATGGATTTAATAAACAACACCTAATTTATCGGTACTTCCCAATACATATGGGAGATAAATCATGACCTTTATGCATCTTTAATATATTTCCAGAGCACCAACAAATTTATGGCATAGGGAGTTAATTACTCTCTCAATTTACTGCACTCTTAAAACTATTAATGTCAAAAGGAGAAGAAATATACTTCTTCAGTCCCACAAAACATTTTTTATTTTGAATTTTAAGAGATTTAAGAAGAATGTATTTTGGTGTCGACTTTCTGAAAATGCCCTTGGATGTAATAGGTAAAAGTAGATGTGATGGGTAGAATAGTAGTGAAAATGTATGTTGTGATAGGTAGGTTAAGAATTAATAAGAGTAAAAGTGACTTTTTAATATAAATGAGAAAAGTTTTTTGGAAGAGATGAAAAAAGAAAGAAAAAAGGTTTTGTGGGACGGAGGGAGTAAAGACACAAGAAGTATTATTACCTAAGAAGTATTATACGCGTAATTCACTATCTAAAGGGACATCCAGGCCAAGTAATCTTTTTACGAAGCGATAGCGATCTTGACCTTATTGCCTACTCGATTAGGCTAAGATTGGACAAGTTGTCTTCTTACTCATCGGTAAGTCATTGGATATTTTATTATCCTAGGTCAGTCTCCTAAATCGTGGTGGACAAAGAAGCAGACAATTGTTTCTCGCTCTTTTGCTAAACCCGTGCAAATATCGAGCCATGAAAAATGCTTGGTTTGAAATACGTTGGATCCGAGGTAGAAGTTTTGGTTGTTCTGTGTGCCGCTACTCTGAAACTATATTGTGATAATACGTCTGCACTATTTATTGCTGCTAACCCGGTATGTCATGAAAGATCCAAACATATCTTTATTGACGGTCACATTGTTCAATTCAAGAGTGTGTTCACCGTTACCATATTGTTACCTCTTAAGTCCCTACATGCCTTCATATTGCGGATATTTTAACCAAGGCATTGTCTTGTCCATTATTTGAATTTTTTGTCCAAGTTGGCGGTCATAACATTCATGCGCCAACTTAAGAGGGAGTATTGAAGTATCTCATACATATTGTACTCCCTCCGTTCCATTAAACCCTTTCCCTTTCGTTTTTTTTCCAATTCCTTAACAAAATGCTTAAGTTTCCCAAACATGGAATTTAAGTCAAATCCGGATTTGAAATCCAAATCCATGTTCCCAAACATACCATAAAACACTTCCACTTTCTATTAAAAAACCACTTTTACCTCTACTTTTTCATACCCTACCTATCACATCAGATTTTTCACTAATAACCAAACTATTACATCTTACTTTTACCCATCACTTCAGGGACAAAATTGGAAAGTTAACAAAAATTACACTTTCCTTATTTTGGCCCAAAGTCAAAATGGGAAGTGTTTAAAGGAAGGGAGGGGGTATTATTTAATATTGAATTTAGTTATCGGGCCAACGTATTTATGGGCCGGAGGCAAACCCTTGTATATATACTGATCCAAGATTAATGAAAGGAATCAAGTTACTTTTCAAATTCTTGATATTTATTTGTGTTGGTGTTTCTTGGCATATTACTTATTAGTAGTTTTTAATTCAAAAATTACTTATAAGTTATATATATATATTTTGTGGAAGTAAAATAACTAAAATGATACATAAGTTATTTTTTGTGGAAGTAAAATGACTAAAGCTAGTGATAGATAAGTTTAATATTTTTTGTGTGGAAGAAATACGTCACTAGCTGATTTATAAGTTTAAAAAGACTATAAGCAGTTTTGACCAATTTATAAGCACATAGAAACAAACTTGGTTTTAGAATGTTTTGTTTGTAAAATCTTGGAAAAACCAATGGAGTGACATTCTAGCTAGTCTTTGAGAATGTTTGGGAGTCATTAACTTGTGGATAAAGTGATTTCCACAAAAGTGGAAAGCAAAAACACCTCATAATTGCTTCTCCGGAATGGCGTTCTGTGTACAAAATAATTGTGGAGAAAGGCAGAAGCTGACATGCCAAACAGAATAAAATCACTTCCATTCAAAGCAGAAGCTGAATTTCTAAAAGCGTCGCACTGCCAAACACCTTCTTTAGAACTCTATGAGAAAGTGGCAAATTAGGTTTGTAATCTACACCGGGTAATAATGGGTATTTTTCTATGGTAGTGCTTATTGGCTTTTTGCTAATAAGTAATTTGTAATTTATAAGCTGCTTATAAATTAAATATTCTTTTGTAAAAGTAAAATGACTTAAATGAGAGATAGCTAGGTTATTTGAAAATATTATGATGAATATTTTTATAAATAATCTTGTCAAGAGAGCGAGATTTCCAAAAAAATAGCATAAAAATAAATACATAAAATCTATTTATTTTTATGGTTTATAAACTACTTATATGTGATCTTATAAATACAAACAAACATACGATCAATTAACTTATAAATTAAAAATGACTTATAAACACATAAAAATACTCACCATATACCATATAGAATCCTCATTCGGCTATCATTTGTTGACTGTTCATCCCCTCCCTTTCATATTCTCAACGTAACCCATTCCACTGACCACTCAATACACAAATATCAATGGACTATCTTGTACCCCTTCACCGTTCTGCGGAGGAATAGAATCCAACGACACCAACTACTCTATATACGATGAATGGCTAAGAGTAGCTTAACTAGTCCATCACCATAAACACATATTCTTTCCATCTTAGAATATTCGTTCAATTTAATTTTTTAGAGTCAAATTAATTTGCAGATATTAAAATATCAATTATATTAAATTTGTATTGTATATTAATATAATTAAATAATGTATCGCAAGATATATAGTCGAAAATCTATAAAGATAATTTTTTTATTCGATGATCAAAATTTATTCAGTTTGATTCGAAAAATCAAACTAGTCAAACAGTACGAGAAACAGGTAGTACTCCATATGTTATATTTTTTTCTTAATTTGCACAAACCACAAAAGAAAAAGTCTAAATGTTTTATTCCCACTTGGCTATATATAAGTTGATAATATATAGAGACTAATTAATACAATAAAACAGTACCTTAATATACACTTTCTTTGTCCAATAGCAGAAGTTGGAGCTCTAGCTTAGCTTGGTATGTGAAAAAGCCCAGTCTATGGACACACACACATATATAGAGTTTAAAAGCCCTAACAATCTTCATGATATATGGTAATGGTAGTAAAAGAAGTAAAACCACAAGTTTTAAAGATAATAGACATATACACAAAGATGTCATTGGTTCATGTGCACAAGATAGATCCACTACTTCCAATTCATCAAAACAACTCAGCAGTCTCACCTAAGGGCATAATACCCAAATCCACTCCCATTCCCATCATCAGCTCCTCCTGTGCTGCTTGAACATTGCATGCTGCATCATCAAACAGCCATTTTTCCAGCAATGTCAGGGGCATATTCGTCTCCGTCGCACCGTTATTATTACTACTACCCGTTCCCGCGGTTTGCGCGACGACGAAGCTCGGCTTGCTCTCGACCTGGAAAACGCTCCCGTTCTCGTTCACGGTCGAATTGAAGCTGAAGATGGACGAGCTCGAACCCGCCACCGTCCCGGTTTGGGTTGTGAGTGTCTCCGAGTTGGACCGGGCCGGGGAACCGGTCCGGCGGCCCGAGTTTTTCTTCGTCCAGTTTCCGAGCAGTCTCGCAATGTTCTCCGTGCTCGACGCATATGGGGCCGCGGGAGGCGGTTGGACCGGGTCGGGCAAGCGGGCGGTTGCGGTTTCGGGTTTGTGGTCGTCGATGGATAAAGCCTCACAAAGGGCTTGTTTGGCCATTTGAATGTCAGTTTGAAGCCTTCTCTCCCACTGGCCCTTTGACAATGATTGGTGGTGAGTGGAGGAAGATGATAATGAGGAATTATTATTATTAGTACCATCTTGCTGGAAGATTGCCTGATCATCTTGGCCTTGCATCTTTTTGAGTTTCTTCTTGAGATGGGTATTCCAGTAGTTCTTTATGTCATTGTCTGTTCTTTGAGGAAGGTATGAAGCTATTGCTGCCCATCTGCATCCATAATTATGAATTAAAAAACAATTTAATTTATTAGTTCAACCCTTAGCTAGCTATCCCCATCTCTTTTTTTTATTATAAGTAATGGGCGATCTTAATTCTCAACTATTGTTAAGCGCGAGCTGATATTGAAAAAACAGGCATTCATATTATATATACTCCATACATATTTTCCATTTCTCAAATCATTAATTTGCTTTGATTGGAAAATGAAAAAGTTGTTTAATTAAATTAAATATTAATAGAGAGTGAAAGACTTTTGGTGGAAGAGAAAAATAAAAGAGAAAGTATTTTTTCAAACGGAGGGAGTATGAATTATGACATCTAAAAGAAGATATACACACCTCTCTTCGTTCCAAAAAAAATTTTCCTTTCATTTTTATTCCACTTACTATTAAAAAGTTATTACTTCCTCCGTTTTCAAAAACTCTTCCTCTTTCATTTTTTTTACTTCCAACAAAACACTTCCACTTTCTATTAAAAAACCACTTTTACCCTTACTTTTTCATACCCTACCTATCACATCATACTTTTTCTCTAATACTCAATCCATCACATCTTAGTTTTACCCATCATATCAAGGGCAAAATTGGAAGTCAACTACAATTTAACACTTCCTTATTTTTACACAAAGTCAAAATAGGAACACTTTTATAGAACGGATGGAGTATTACTTTTTTAAATTCTTGCCCTACCTATTACGGAGTATATCATATTTATTCATTATCAATCTAACTATTGCATTCTACTTTTACACATCACATCAAAAACGAATTTAGGAAAACAAAATAAAAATATTACTCTTAAAATTTCATACAAATCAAAAGTGGAATAGATTTTATGACGAAGGGAGTGCCTTTTAAATTCTGAAATGGAATGAAAATATTTGATAGTCTTAAATCTGATGTGGGTCAGTGACGAGAACGGTGGGCATTGGCACCGGACGGCTGATTATGGTTAAGGGTAGACGCTCCGGAGATATCAAAATCTTTGAACTGATATTTTCAAAATCGTGAGATATAAAAACACCCTCATTTAGAAGTGACACAATTTACTAAGAACCGTTATGATACGACCGACTGATGATCAAATACTATGATGTATTAACCGGTTTTGAAATGTTTATCTAATTTTGACTTTTAACATTTAAAAACTCAAAAATTTTGAATTCTAATGAAATAAAATAGATACTCCGTACTAAATATTAATAAAAAATAATTTTATTAAATTTATCCTACAAAATATTTTTAAATTGGGTCAAATGTGGATCATGACAAGAGAGAAAATTATAAAACTAACCTTTAAAAGGAAACCGACAGGTGGCATACAAAAGAATATTGTTTGACTAAAGGAGTAAACTCTTTAGTCAAATTACATTCGTAATAGTTTAACGTAAAGTTTAGTCAATATTATTTGCACTTGCACCAATTTACAGAGCGAGAAAGACTATTTCTTCGATTCTTATTTAACTAGTAGTATAATGAGTTTTATGATCGATTTGATATAAACTATTGTAAGTATGATTTATGTTATTTTCATTCAATTTTTTTTGTTTGGAACCATATTCATTTGATTTATGATATAATATACGGAGTAAAAAATAAAACGGTCCATTAAATGAAAATTGGGATTGTAGAAAATACACTCTCTATCCGTATTTAACGAACTATTATGAAGTATGGAGTATAATTTTTGAAATATTATCAAAGTTTAATGAATGATGATGTACTCCCTATATCATTTCTCTATCCATTTGATTTTTTATGTATTAGGAAATTATAATGATCATGTAATTATGAATGAAGGTGATTTATTTTACGAAAACAATCTACTTTCTTCTAATAATCATCTAATCAACAAAGCGTTCCACATACTGTAATATACATGGTGCATTTAATTGTGGGACCAACGTACTGCCCCACCTTAAAAAACTAAATATTGTGTTCACTCATAAACCTGATTATCATAATTTTGGCTTCACTAAATTAATAAGATTTCTCTAAAACAGTTGACTTTGGTTCCTTTTTACTACCATCAATAATGAGAGAGCTTTTTAATTCAAGCTATTTACTACCACTTCAGCAAAAATTAAGGTCTGCTTGGATTAGTTGGATATATTTTCGAGACAGGGAAGGTTTTCGTCCTAAAATAATTAAAAGATCTTTTCTCTTTTAATTGTATTGGTTAAATTGTGACTCTTTCACCACAAATTATAAAAAATAATATTTAATTACATAATAATGTTTCAATGACCCTAAGGATGGACCCAAGGACTATGTAAAAATTCCTCAGCTATAATATACATTTAATATAATTGTGTTCATATTAGTAAGGATATTATTTTGATAAATCAAATTTTAATTTTTTTTAATTAAATTATACTCCGTATTTGTTTTGCGTCAAAAGACTATTACAATTTGACAAAAAAAGTGAAATCAAGAAACATTTTTTAAACCGGAGGAAGAATTAATCATAATTTTATTGATATATTTGTGGAACCGAGTATGATTTATTGAACGGATAACCACCGCCAGTTGAGTCACCATTAGAGCTTCTTAAACACAGAAAAAATAGTCAACGATGCTTTCAATTTATCATTAGAAGTAGGCTTTATAAATACTTTACCAGATCTAGGACAAAAAAACATCATATCCCCTAATTACAAATAATCATAATTTTTTCGTTTAAAAAAAGTATTACTGTATTAGTCTATCCATAACAGAATTATCTTCCTGATTGCTTTTTCTTAATAAAAAATTTCTAACTTTGACAATGAAATATAGAAAAAACATATTGAGTTATACTACGTAATATAAATTTAATATCAATAGATTAATTTTGAAATAAAATTTAAGAATATGATTGTTTTATAATATAAAATAATATTAAAATAGAGATATTAATGATCAAAGAAATACATCAGAGACCGTGAAAATGCAAACAAGAAAATAATTTTTTAGGGCGGTGGAATATAATTTTTTAGAGCTGTGCACTAAATAGTACTAAAACTTAAGTTATTTCTCTAAATAGCACTTAAACAATTTTATTCCCTAAATAGCACCTAATAATAATCATTTGCATATATGGTTTTGTGTAAGATTTTATTTAGAGCTCAATTCACACAGTTGACTTTGTCGGTAGAATGAATGTATACCTATTTCCAAGAAGGGCTTGGAGATGTATAATCATCTTTTCCTCTTGTTCGGTGAAGTTGCCACGTTTTATTCCGGGACGCAAATAGTTTGTCCACCGGAGTCGGCAGCTTTTGCTGCATCTAAGCAACCCTGTGATGCATGCATGCACAAAATTAAAGCAAAACACAAAACAATATATAATCACATAAAAAAGTGAGCTTTTTCCCTGCTAAAATAATAAATAAAGTTTATAGCATATGGACTCATTTGGTGAGCTTTGGAGGATTGATATGATACGAATTTCGAAATCAGTGATAGGATTTGAGAGATCTGAAATCATGGTTTTTAGTTGACAGATTAATCCGCAACGAGGGCGGCCAACGGTTAAAGGATATATCAAAGCTTCAAATTGATATGGATCTCCCAAGTTCAAGAGATATTGAAACGATCTCTTTTAAGAGATTTTGATATCTGAATACGTACTGAGTAAATATATCTGAAAATTCGTTGAAAATTCTCCAAAATTCAAAATAATATTTTGATATTTGGAGATTTCACAACATATATCTCTTTTATTCACCAAATCCAGTGATAAGATTATATCAAATAATATCTTTTTCATTTTCAATTTTTTTTGGGTGGATCAACTTGGTCTCATAAAGAACTGGTAGGAGGAGTGCATTAAGTACTACCTTTAATGAANAATACAAAGAAAAAAAAAGTAAGAAAAAAAAAGAACTTAAGAATTACCAGTATTAGTAGGAACAGATCTCCAATTGCCAGGACCATGTTCTTGAATATAAGAAACCAAAATGATATCCTCTTCAGGAGTCCAGGGACCTTTCTTCACACCAACTTTATCACAGCAAGGAGGCCTTCCCATTTCTATTAAACCCCTCTCTTTCAAGCTATTTCAAGAAACAAAATCTTTGTAAAACAAAAACTATACCTTTTAACTGATTATAGAATCTTAACTAATTGACTTTTTTTTGTTGTCTTTGTTTTTTCTAGCTATGTACTCCATCCACTGATCTCTATGGGATTTCTGTTTTTTTTTCCTTCTCCTGTTTGCGAAGAAAAGGTTGGACTATCATAGCAGGGATGGGGGGGGGGGCGACTTGTCTAGGCATTCACATATATAGGGAGAGAGAAAGGGGTCTTTAATTAGTACATAGAGGCTGGCCAAAGATTAAGATATGTGAAAAAGGCTTTTTTTTCATTTGTATATTATGACATGATAAATACAATACATTGACATAAGAGTATTTATGAGTGCTATTTTTGCTGTAAAAATAGTTTTTTTTGGAAGGAATTAGAATACTTTTCCACAGCTGGAGTTCCCACATCAAAAAATAAAGACCAATACCACTAGCATATAGAGAAGAGTGAAACCCTACCTATCGGTGTGAGCTTTTGGATTAGAATAGTGGATCCCGATTTTATATGCAAGTGGTTAATTTTACTCGGCACTCTACTCGTTGTTCTCGGCCTGCCGGAAATTTAACACCCGCTGTAAAATTGTTCAACGTTTAACTTGGCATTAATATTTAAAGAAAACGTATAGTTGAAAGTAGTGCAAAAGAAAAAATAAATAATACTCTCTTCCTTTCCTAAAACCATTCCTGTTTTGATTTTGGAGGAATTTATTCTCATAGTTTGACCTTTTAATTTTAAGTTTAAAATCGAACAAATCAGAGAGACAAATCATTTAATTGACTTATTGTACCAAGGGTAATGCTAGAGTAGGTTACAAATCAAATATTCACAAAATACACAAACTTATTTAATATGTAGAGTAATGGCCTCAAATAATTAAAAAATAAAAACTGAAATACACAAATGATAATTTTGTGCATTTTGTGAGTGTTTTGTTTTTGACTTTAGCATTAATCTTATACCAATTCAAATTGAATTGAGTACATTGCAACAACTTATTTTAAATATTGAGAGAAAGACCAAAGTAGGAATAAAATATTGAAAATATACCAAAATAGGAGTTCCATATATTTATTCCCGAAATAAGACTTACATTACCATACATGGTCATATACATTACCAAAAAAGTATAGTAATTTGCACATGTACACTGCCACATTACAACAGTGCAAAGTCACATTATCACAGTGCAAAGTCCTATTTCGGGAAAAAAAATGAAAATCCTATTTTGATACTTTATTCTATGTTTTAGTCCTATTTAAGGTGATTTCTATTAAATATTTTAGTTATTTTTTTACAAAAGAGAAGCATTTTAGGGAAGACGGAAAAAATGAAAGAATGTATTTTAAGAAACATAGGGGGTATAAGCTAGGTTAGATAAACTTTTTAAATGTAAATAATACTCTTGAGTCCCAAAAAGGACTTTTTAATTGAGTTTGACACAAAATTTAAGAAAAATAAAATTATGTGGTTAGAAGTGATGGAGAGGAAGAAAAGATGTTGGGCCACACAAAATATGCAAAAATCAAAAGAGAAGTCTTTGGGCATGTTTGGGAATATAGTAGCATTAGAGATTAGCGATATGTTTTGAAAAGGCTATCTATGACCACCGTTTAGCGTTAGTATTTCAAAGTAATTTACAACGTTAAAATTTTATTCAAAACTCTAACGTTAATCTCTAACGCTATTTCCAACACACCCTTTTTCAGGAAGTTTCAAAAATAAAATGTGGAATCTTTTTTAAGGAATAGGGATTAGGGAGTATATATTTTTGGCACATTGATTTTTTTATACTACGAGGGATCGAGTGAGTATTAGAAAGGAGAAAATATTCAAGAGAAATTTACCTAAATAGGATTAAGACATAATGACTTTCCGAATATAGGACCATATGTTTTTATTTCTCAATGTAGGACTTTTGGTCATTATCAAGTAGTCATTATTCAAGTAAATGGTCCATCATTACTGGACATTATTCCTCCCACTAGGTCATTATTAAGTCCTATTTAGGGAATAAAAAAGTCTAAGTCCTACATTGAGAAAGTCATTATGTTTTAGTTCGATTTAGTGCAAATTTTACAATATTCAACTCGTATCAAATAAATTATCAAGGGCTTGTTATGGCACCATGAGTTACGATTCACGAACTTACGATATCATGGCAAGCATTTTGAAGAGTGGTCATGCTTATTATTTAAAAATTTTGCGGTTTTTATTAATAAATGTAGATGGTAAGGTATGGTACAATGAAGTTTTCCAAATTAAATTATTAATGGCCGAATACAATTACTTATATTTATATTACTTATATTTATAAATATAAGTAATTGTATGTGCACCTCACAACTTCTGAGCGAAAATTATACTCCCCCGTACCTAAAAGATTGTCATAATTTGACTCTTTTGTTTAAACTATGACGCTAGGACGCTCTTTGGCCATGAATTACGAAAAAAGTATATAAGGTTATATTGTAAATTTATTAAAATTAAATTTATTTTAATTTCAAGCTTTTATAAAATTTAATAACTTTAAATTATACGGAGTATCTAACTCATTGTCAAATGATGCCACAGTTTGACAAAAAAATCAAAATGTGGCAATCTTTCAGGGACGGATGAAGTATTGCACATCTTAGCTTATTATTTTGTCACCTAAATAGTGCTTAATAAAAAAGAAAATTAAATAATAATGATAATAATAACACGCGGGGGGGGGGTGTAAACTGTTAACCAAAGAGCTGGCCTTCTACCTCCGAGTTAAAAGTGCCTATAATAACGTTCATCTTAAAAGCCTAGAGCAATGTGGTATAAGTCCTTTTCACGACTTGGAACTCAATCTATTTGTTATTGAGCCTAGCTCCGAACAAGTCAAGAGAGAGGGCAAAGTGGGGCCTGAGCGGGATTGTGAGATGGTACGTGGGTTAAGTTGCTTTTTACAAAGGTAGGTTGCCTTGTATATGTAACCCGGGCACCCCTGGGGACAACTCGATCCATCACGCGAGGCTGCCATGCTGCGCCCCTCGTCATCCTAGGTGACAAGCCCAAGGGTCGACGACCTTTATGACTAAGGCTCGGGGCGAGCACAAATCCTTCCTAACAAGTCTATGTATCTTTCTTAGGCTCCTAGATTACACGCCTCTCGAGCTCAAGTGAAAGGATTATTGGCACAATGTACAAATGCACACTCTACAAAAAATGTACAATGCGATGCCAATGATACGCATCACAAATGTTTGGACGTACACAAAGCCTCAAGAAATACGAGGAGATGCCTTGACATTTGCTAGAGTATCTCAGCACAAGACGACATGACATACACAATACTGAAAATAATGTCCTATCGAAGAGATTACATACGTTCTACCGATACTTATGTGGCGAAAAAGCACATTGGTACGAACATTTTTGAATTCTTAAAAAGAATTTTCTTAAGTTTAGTGAAGTAGATTTTTTTTAACTTTCAAAAATCAAAAAAGAATTTTTTACTAGAACACAAACATTGCAAAAGTGTTTTAACTACAAGTAAAAAATTTTTATAAGAAGATGGGAGTACTACAAAATTTCAAAATTGAAGGAAAAATTTCAGGCGTACTTCCACGAGACAGTAGTGGAGGATGAAGTGCGTACGGTTGACTGGAGAAATCGAGAGCTCGATATAATGGGAGATTCCTCCCACACCAGAAATGAAACAAAAAAAAGTCTAATATATAATTCTAATGGAGTCTATTCTTACAGTCAATTAGTTTTAGAATGAAACTCTCATGGGCTTGTGTGTTAGACCTATGACGCAATCGCGACAAACGAGAGTGTGTCCTCTACACTATATATTGGACTTATTGGACTTTTACCACAATATAATTTACAATTAGAAAATTAAAAATATATTAAGCCTCAAATCATCGTCATTCAAGTGAGAATGGTGTATATTTTATCTGCTGCGACACATTGTGCAGTAGTTCTAGTGCATTTACGACTGTTAGAAAAGTTTGATTTATCTACACAAATAGTATCACGGTTTTTTCGATTTCTTGATTTTTAATAACCCTATGCTCTTAAATCTAATGGCTAAACTCCAATATTGGTCCTTCAACTTTTTAAGTTGTGCACGATTAGTCTTTCAAATTTTAAAAATTCATAAATAGTTCTTCAACTTTATGAGTTATGCACGATTGGTTCTTCAAGTTTCAAAAGTTCATAAATAGTCCTTCAAGTACGGTCAGCCCTCCAGATGAGGTCCTTTTGACGGTGAACGTTAAAAACTAAATGGAGTACTAGTTTCATATAATAAGGAGTAGTCATACCTTGTGGATTTACTTGTATTATATGGAACTAGTATTCCATTTAGCTTTTAATGTTTATTGTCAAAAGGACATCATCTGGAGGGTTGACGTATACTTGAAGGACTGCTTATGAACTTTTGAAATTTGAAAGACTAATCGTGCACAACTCATAATGTTGACGAACTATTCATGGACTTTTAAAACTTGAAGGACCAATAGTGCACAACTCATAAAATTGAAGAATCTATGGTGGATTTTAGCCTAAATCTAATAGATCGTATATTTCTCGTTTCTTTCATAGTGCATCACATATACACACGAGTGTTCACAAAGTGTTGTAGGGAGAATGATTGACACAATTTCTCATTAACAAGCTAGCACCCATATATATAGAATGAATTTGGTTTACAAAGAAAACACAATGAGCTAATAATATACTCCCTCCGTCTTAGATCTTTCTTCGTAGTGTACTATTCTAATTTTATGAGAACTTTTATTTATTTGTGTTTTTTCATGCCATATAAAATAAAATAAAATATTCTTGTCCCCACTTGTTTTGTTAAATTTGAATTTGATGTAGTTTTTAAATATGTAATTTATTTTTAATATTTATACCAATATTTAAATAAAATAGAATGAAAAAACTAGATATTTTTAATTTTGCGCCACGCGAAGAAACAAAATAGGACCGAAAGAGTACATAGACCTTGTTTGGGAACAACGTTTTCGAGTAGCATTAATGTTTTGGATAAAATTTTATTGGTGTAGATTAATTCTGAAAACGCTAATGCTAAAGGCTATCGTCGGACAGCCCTTTCAAAACGCTAACGCTAATATCTAACGCTGATGTCAAACGTGACCATAATAACTCGATACATATTCTATCTAAAGAATTGCATCCAC